TATATATACATATATATATATATATATATATATATATATATGTATATATATATATATCATACGTACGACAGAAAAAATTTGAAAAGCTGAAATAGTTCGTCTTTGGGAAATGATCTCCAGATCTCGGTATCGGCTGCACCAATTTTATTCGGACTGGTCGCAGTCGAAAGATACCGATGACATTATATAATAAAAGTGTTTTTAGATTTTTGATTGCGACTTTAGTTTCTGAGTAATTTTAATCTAAAGTGTATATAAACATAAATCAGGCCGCTTGATCGCTTGACGTGCGAACATCATTGCGTATATATTCATGCCGTTACCAAATTTGCGACGTTAAAATCGCGAATTTGATAATGGCATAATACGCAATGACGTTCACACGTCAAGCGGCTAAGCGGCCAGGTTTTATATTTTTATACACTTTTAATTTAAAAGTAACTTATTAAAGTATTAAAGCAATTGTACAGTGAGAAATGTCGACATATAATACAATGCTAATGAAACTATAGATAAATAAATTTTGTAAATAAAAGCAATATACGAGTGCCATCTACCGTCGAAAATATGAAAAGAAGATGACTTTTTGAGGCGATGACGTATCTTATATAATTTTGACATTTCGGATTTCGCATCACGACATCTCCGTTCATAGGACACGTAGAGGTAAAATAAATTTATTATATAATTCGGACCCAAGCTGTCGATTGAGCTCATATTCAAAACTCGATCGGTCCAGCCTTTATTAAAAAAACCGATGCTTTCGGGATGCTCGCAACTCGCTGACTAGCGTAAAAGACACGAGGCGGTCTGCGCGCTCACTTGACGCGAGCCACTACCGCGTCTCTCGATTAAATGTATTGAACCGAAATTACACGTCACAGTTTTAATCGAGATTTGACAAAAATTTTTATGAACTGAAGACTAGCAATTTTAATTTTGTATTTTAAAAGTCGATTCAAGTGCAGTCTCAGAGTCAGCGCCATTACCATGGCAATTACACGATCTTTTTGTTTGATCGTCGTGTTTACGGTCGTTCGCTTCTGGAAAGACTAACGAAGTGTTTTATGTTCCTTTCAACATCCTGCGCGTGAATTGCCGACCACGCCGAACCGTCCGATGTATTGTACGAAACGACGTACGCGCATCCACTCGATCGAGACAAGAAAGAGGTTTTGTCGATAAATCGAAACACTGTGGCTGTGCTAGTTCCGTCGGATAATTGCACGCAGTAAATTAAAATTCGCATTTTATTTTCACCTGAAAATTTAGAACTACGTAGCAACGTCGTAAATTGCATTTTTTTCAAGTCTCACGATCGTTATTTTATAACAATTTCGTGGACAATGAGTTATTTATGAAATCTACGCTTCAGAAAATCTCTAATTTTGCGTAACGATATTTACTCTCTAAATCTCGTAGAGTGAAACCTCACTTGAAAAGACAGAAAATTCAGCCTGTCTCGAAAAAAGAGTGAAAATTCGCGACTCTTAAACAAGAGCGGCCATATTTTCACTCTTTTTTCAAGACTGGCTGAATTTTCAGTCTCTTCGAGTGAGATTTCATTCCACGAGATTTAGAGAGTAAATATCGTTACACGAAATTAGAGATTTTTGTGGAATGAGATTTCACTCCACGAGATTTAGAGAGTAACATACCATAACACTGAATAGATACGTACGTGTACGTGTGGATTAGTGGCAATTATAATTATATCAGCAATAGGATCCGCATTAGTTACATGTACAGAAAATGTGGGTCTCGATGAAATGAGTTAGTTTTCACAATAATGTAGCTTGTGATGAATAAAAGATCATAGACACAAAATTCAATTGGAAGTGCTCAATAACGGATAGTTTTTGAGCTATGACGTACGTCTGTAAGCACACTTGTGATGCACCATAGCTCAAAAACTATCTATTATTGAACCTTGTGTCTATAACGTCTTTGTTTGCATTATAAATATCAGTTGCCAGTTTTTTCTCCGGCTTAAAAACCGGAAATTTAATTTATCTCGCTGAAGATCGCCTGCTATTTTCAGAATTGTTACTGTATTGCGATGCGTTCTTTTGAAAAAACTCCGATGTAATCAGGTATTGTAGTTTTCATATAATGTTGTTTACAATGTTTATAAAACTATCACATTTTATCGGAACTCAATTTATTTTCCATATCGTTAGTGTTGAATCTTTTACAGTTCACGATTAAAATATACAACTACAATTTTACACGACTTTACTTGAGTCCAAATAAGAGTGAAGATCTGCATCTTTATCCGAATGATTAATCGAATTAAGTATATAATATTTCTTCTTTTCTTTTCTTCTTTTTTTCTTCCACGTTAACTCACGAGAAGCGACATAAATTAGCGATTTACTTTCAAACGAGTTTCGCCCTAAGAAATATCTGCGTTTTAACGATTAACTGCACTAGATGAGAACTTGTGCCATAATGACCTGAAAAAAAGAACATCACGCGGACTTAATCCAGGCGTTGTCCGAACGTTTGCTCTGAAAACGACGAGGCGGTAAATCTTTGCTCTTTGGTCGTAAGTTCGATCGATCATTGCGAGGAACTTTTCGCGCACTCAGCAAGTCTCGACGCGCATCGTTCACTTTGCAAGCGGAACTTTATTGCGATATTTTCGTATAACGATACGCGACACGTGGCATATAGAAATAGGGGCGAAAGGATATATGTATATAGGGAAGATTGGAACTGAATGACAGTTTTCGAATAATAATTCTTGGGAAAAGTGGATGTAAAATTTTGAAACGCTATATTTTTTAAGGTCCCGTTAGCATGGATCGGAGTAACGGAGCGGAATAACAGATCGGATTTCTTACTATTTATATTAGAATTGAGCATTCCATTCCGTAAGAAGTTTTTCTGGAAGTTCCATGTGCCGGAAACAGAATGGAATTTGTAACAAAATATATATTCACTCTTACAATTCAGTATTTATGAGCACTCACAGCAATATTATGGACAAGATAATTGCATAAATTATGTATATTATAGCTTCATTTAAACAACGAAATATCGACTAATTAAGCACATTTAAACAATGAAATATCAACTAATTAAGTTCATTTACCTTGCAACCGACACGATATTCCGTTTTGTTTCCATTCCATTCTGGCTCCCC